ACAACCCCAGGCAGCTCCTGCGTGATAAAACATCTGTCCGTGAACACAAAGAGTGGGTACAGGACAGCTTTCATGCATGACCCAGAGCAGTGAGGAAGGAGCAGGCTGGGGTGGGAAGGCACCTTACTGCCAAGTAGAGTTGAGCATACTGACATCAGATAAGGAAGAATGAGCCACTATACACACCTCATCCTCCTGGCAGAGTGCTATGGTAGCTGCTGCCTTAGTGTGCTCTCCAAGCTCCCGCAGTCTTATCAAGAAAGCTTCTTTGGGAGCTAGAAGCACATGGGAAGGGTGAGCCTAACACCAGAGAAAAAGGGTGTATACTATTAAGTTTTCATACAGCAATTCTGCCTGTCATATCAATGACACTCTCCTGTATTAATTAGAACTATTAAGACTCTTAAACGGTTAAAACATTAACTGGACTATCAGTAAACTCTGTGTGGCATGTAAAAAGGCATGTTCTTTTCCCTTTTGCCAAGAAGCCAATTTTGAGGGAAACAGGGGAGGCCTCTTACTCCTTCCGGATCAATGCAATTCTGAGCTGATAATCTCTCTTGATGACGATATGAACATTATAGAATAGTAGAGACTAGTATAGATCCGTATTTTATGCATTCCCCTCTACCATATGGGTATAGTAGTTAAAGCTATCTTGTTTATTGCTGGTCAGGCATATTTTTATCAATATCAATATGGATAAGTAAAACATGACATTAGTTTGGGGATGGTCAAGTGTTCTCGTCAAGTAGTCTCTACGAATTTGGTTCATCTTTAAACAAAAAGTTGGGGAAGGGATGGGACTTGTATGCCTCATCTCCCAGGCACAAGAATACTATGTGATCTTGAGTTCTTAAGTATATAGAGTTGAATGTTTATGTGTATTGCATATACTATCATACATACATGAACAGGCAGCTGCTCTGAAGAGATGAAGATAGCTTTTCTTAAAGTAAAACAAATATCTCTTGTATTTGCGTTTTAGATATAGATATACTCTTTAAAATCTATTCGTATAATCATGTGTTTGTCATAGAATATAATTCATTTGATTTTTCTAACTGTTTCAGAGTTAATTCTTTACATGAGACTATTCGGGAAAGATTGTCAACGAGTGAGAAGTAAATTAATGGTAATGATTAAAAATTAGGAATGAGAAGCAGAAGCCAGACAATGTGAGTGTAAATCAAATCTTTCGTTTGTCCAAAGGCTAACAGTTGTTGTGATATTTTCCGTGTCAAATTTTCTACAGATAATTATATGGCATGTAAAAAGGGAAGAAAGGACTTCAGAGAAGTAAAATTTATAGTTGACACTAAATTATTGAGGCTAGTCAAGTATAATGAAGCCTGAAAACATTCTGAAGTAAATAACAAGGTTAGATGAATAGGCAGTAGGACGGGTAATGTAATTTGTTCCTAACAGATGTAAGGAAATGCTAACTGGAAGGCGTGATCAGAGTTGTTCATACCTGTGGCATTAAAAAATAATTGTAACCATGGAGGAAATGAATCCTACTGGCTTTGAAGTTTAAACAAGAGAATCAAAACAAAAATATACTTGTCACATATCTGTAGGCTGAAACTTGTGGTATCAGCCATGGTGAGAGATAGAGAGGAAACAGCGGGAGGTGCGGAGGCACTGCAGGGCTGTGCAGCCCCAGCAAGGGGAGCTGGAGTGGTGAGAGGTTCCTTGCCTTGCATATGGCATGGGCCAAGGAGACACGCTTACTGCTGTCACAGCAAGTGTCAGCATGCTCCGCTGTTTGTGAATGGTCTAGAAAATGCTCTCCTCAGGGGAATGGGCAGACTATTCCCCAGACAAGAGTCACTACTATTCTGTGACAGAAAGCCACAGCCCTAGAAGAGTAGCTCCCCAGTGTGAGCTCAGTCAGCTCCTGCTAGCTGGTTCAAGGGTGCTGTCTGGTGAAGGAGACATCTTATCTCACAATGAAGAAAACGAGAGGTCAACAGCTTTCCCAACTGTTGTTTATCAGCAGGTAAGAGTAATCATTAATGACATTGTGCCTTGCCTACACAGCAAGTGGCTTGTCCTCTTCCCCTTTGCTTATGCTTAGAGTGCTTGCTTTCCACTCAGGCTTAATTATACAGGTAATCAGCGTGTGTAGTTAGAATAAATTCCATCAAACTTAGTCTGTGGTCTGTTCCCACTTTATTGTCCAACATCCAAAGAATCTGCTTGTCCTGAGGCAGCTGGGCTAGGCCAGGGACAAGGACTGGAGCGGGGCCCTGGCACTGCCACTGGGCCTGGGCCTGGCCAGGAAGGCAGCCCCATAGGGCTGGGCTGGGCCTAGCCTGGGGCCATGGCTGGGCTGAAAGACAGCTCCAGGGCAGGGGGATGAGTCCCAGCATCTTGCAGCCATTCCCACAGGAGTCTCCCTCACCACTTGCCCTGGTCTGCCTGCTGGGAGCCAAGCCAAGGCCAAGCTGGAGCTGCCCCAGTGGCCAAACCTTGTCCAGGGGCAGCAGGGAGGGCCTGTCCCAGGGGTGTGGGGGTGACTTGCAGGTCACCTATAGAGGCATCAGGGATTTTGATTAGCAAAGAGAGGGAAAATCTTTCGCATTGGTTTCAATCCTGTTTCTATTAGTCATCTTAGCTTGATTAAAGTACTTCTCTTCTATAGAAACCCTGTCATTCATCCCACAGTTGGTTATAAGCAGCTTTGGAGCTAAAATAAAATGATTTGAGTAGGGCTCAAATATTTTCTAATGCTGTGTAGACACTCTTCTGAAATTTCAAGAAGTGTTTTTGTCCAGAGAAGCTCAGTAGCACTCGTCACCTTCACACTCAAATCCCAATTACATAATTGCCTAATTTAAATGAAATTTTTCCTAGTGATTTTGGGGATTTTTTTTTAACAGGAAATGAAAAGTTGATGTAAATTTACGTGAATCTCTTAGTATGTTCGTATTGTAATAACTTCCATTTGTGAGGTGGTCATCAGGCGCTTCTCTTAAGCACCAAGTTATAAGACGAGGGGAAATGGCCTCAAGTTGTGCCAGGAGAGGTTTAGGTTGGGCATTAGGAGAGATTTCTTTACTGAAAGAGTTGTGTGGCATTGAAATTGGATTCCCAGGGAAATAAGTGATTGAATCACCATCCCTGGAGGTCTTCATGATACACATCGATTTAGAACTTAGTAGCATGGTTTAGTGGTGGACTCCAGTACTAGGTTAAAGGGTGAACTAGATGATCTTACAGGTCTTTTCCAACCTAAATGATTCTATGATCTTGTGATTAACTCACAAACTCTCCAGACAGAACTTCAGCTGTTTTAAATTAGTATATCCAGATTGAAACCATTGCATCAGTACTGATGGTACTGATTTTACTGTTTTACTGATTTTACTACTGGTTCCTTAATCGCTAAGTTCATATCTGTTTCTTAAACTAATTAACTTTGTTAAACTTCATGTTTCCGGTTGTTTGTCAGTGAAATTGTCATGCTTTGGATTTACCCTATAGCTTTGCCAGAAGACATTCACTCTTATGTTTTTGTATGGGAAATATGCAAATTCAGAACATTAAAAAAAAAAAAAAAAGTAAGAAGAAATGTATCAATCAAAATAAAATGCTGAGCACTTCAGGTTGGAATCTGTGGTCCAAAATAGACAAAGACAATAAGAAAATCAGATAATGAGCTGTTTGATGTGATGGGCATTTACCCAGGATGCACAAAACAGATATCAGTTTGAATAAAGTCAAACAAAGGAACAACGGAAGAATACTTGTGTACTTCATTTTCAGAAGAATAAGATAAGGAAATTTATTTGTGTGTAGTGAACCTGAAGTTCATAATCATAGAATCACAGAATGGTTTAGGTTGGAAGGGATATAATTTTAACCCCCCCTGTCATGGACAGGAACACCCCCCAGTAGACCAGGTTGCCCAAAGCCCCATCCTGCCTGGCCTTGAACACCTCCATGGATGGGTCATCCACAGCTTCTCTGGGCAGTCTGTTCCAGTGTTTCACCATCCTTTGAGTAAATAATTCCTTCCTAACATCTAATCTAAATCTCCTCTTATTTATGTATGTATATTTTTATTTATACATTTAAATACATTTTATTTATGTATTTATGTATATGTAACAATGTATTTATTATACATAAAAATACATTTATTTATACATTTAAAGCTGTTACTCCTCAAATCTGTTTCTGGACAGATCATTCTTAGCAGTGACTTGAAACTGGCCTCCAGTCTCCTGGTCGGGCACAGGCTGCTCTCTTGCTCGGTCCTTGCTGCTACAGTCATTTTTCTTTCATATAAATACAGCCATATCCATTGATCATGGACTAGAATAAGCCCCATTTTTTTAAATTGCCATGGTTTCACTTGTCTTGCTACATATGTTAAATATTCAACATGTAAACATTGAAAAATACGAAATTTTTTTTTCCATGTTTTAAACATGGAAAAAATAAGGTGTATAAAATAGCACTAGATAATAAATGTTCATTATTTTGGCGTAGATAGTTAATTCCATATTCAACATGGTTAATATTTATTTATCTGAACTATATTTACCTCTTAGGAATTAGATTTGGACAAGTTAATCTTTAAGGAAGAACATTGTAGCCTCAACTGTATTTTGTACTGAATACTGATGGACTGCTTAGAGGACTATTTTCTTAGCTCATTGAATTCATGCTTGGAAGTAGTTTATGTCAGTGAGATTTTTTAAAAAGAAGTACTAATGGGGAAAGGTATTTGCAGTCTGGCCTTTTATTTTTTACTGGAATATTTCAGCAGACCTTACTTTTGAAACTCTCCCCAGACAATGCTTAAAAAATTATTTTTGGGGAGTGGATGCTTGTTTTGTTTACTTCAGCTTTCTGTCACAATGTATTGGGCTTACATGGCAAGGTTTGGTAGTGGGAGGGCTGCAGGGGTGGTCTCTGTGAGCAGAGCCCAGCAGCTGCTCCATATTAATTAAGGCCCAAGTTCAGCTGGCCCTAAAGGGACTCACTGCTGGCCAGAGCCAAGTCTGGGAGCAATGCTGCTTGGGCCTCTGGAAGAGCAGAGTTAAGGAAGGGAAATACTGCTGAGAAACAGCAGCTGGGAGAGAGGAGTGATAAAATGAGACAGAACCAGCCCTGCAGCCCCCATGGTGAGTGCAGCAGGAGGGCAGGAGGTGCTGCAGGCAGGCAGCAGCAGTTCCCCTGCAGCCTGTGGAGAGGCCTCTGGTGGAGCAGGCTGTCCCCCTGCAGCCCATGGGTCCCACATGGAGCAGATCTCCACGCTGCAGCCCCCCCATGGGTGGAGGAGCCCCTGGTGGAGCAGGTGGATGTGGCCTGGAGGAGGCTGCGGCCCATGGAGAGCCCCCCCAGGAGCAGGCCCTGGGCCGGAGCTGCAGCCCATGGAAGAGCCCATGCAGGAGCAGGGGTCTGGGGGGAGCTGCTGCCTGTGGGGAGCCCAGGTTGGAGCAGGTTGCTCCTGGGGGATGGACCCCGTGGTATGGAGCTGTGTGGGAGTAGCTCTTGAAAAGCTGCTGCCTGTGGGCAGACCCTGCATAATCGTTTCAGGAACAGGGGCAGGGAGTGACTGTGAAGGAGCAGTGGAGATGAAGTGTCAGGGACTGACTGCAGCCCCCATTCCCCTGCACCACTCGAGGGGAGAACATAGAAGAGGATGCATGGGAGGAAGTTGTTTATAGTTTGCTTGCAGTTTCTTACTGTTCTATCCTGCTAGCGATTGGCAATAAATTAAATTAATCTTCCTATGCTGAGTCTATTTTGCCCATGACAGTAATTGGTGGGTGATCTCCCCATCCTTTTCTCAACCCTTGAGCCTCTTGCATTCTATTTTTTCCCCCCTTCACCTTGAGAAGGGGGAGTGAGAGAGCGGTTGTGGTGGAGCTCAGCTGCCCAGCAGGGTAGAACTGTCACACACAAGAATTCTGAGTATAGATTTATGATCAATCTAATTTACAAATTATCCAAATACAAAATAACTTAATTGAAGGTAAGGGCTTTTGTTTTCTTGTTCTGCTTTATATCCACAGATATTTCATAGAATGAGCAGGAGTAGAACAGACTGACTACATTCCCAAAGAGGATTTTTTTTTTTTTTTTCAGACAGTTTTGAATAGTTCATCTTATATCTAGTGACAGAAATAAAACTATAGCTGCATTGCGGATGACAGTATTCCTCAAAGTACCATGCAATTTCAGAATATAATTTAAAATGCATAAAATAGTGTTACAAAAACTTTTAATTGCAAAATTGTGAATGTTTTGGTAGTCTGGAGGTAATTTCTTATAACATGCAAGAAGTTTTATCTTACTTTAGGTAAATTATGAGTAAATATATATACATAATATGTATATATATATAATTGTATTACATAGCAATTGCATGTATTTTTATTTGCATATACCACTCTTTAATTGGAAACCTACAGTATAATTATATCATGGTATTTTATTAATCCAGTTGTATTTTAGAGCTTAACTGAAGTGGAAGATAGGACTAGTCAGATGGTTATTGTTTCTAAACTTTTTCACCAATACATCTTCTTTATTATGTCAGATCAAGATAGAAATATTAAATCAAGACCAGCTTTTCTCCAACAGTTTCCAACACTTTCCAGGTATTTAGAATAGATACCAAATCTTCATTTTATACAGCTCAATGAATTTCAGACACTTAGGGGGAATGTCTTTGTCTTTGTCTTTACAGATCTAATCACCTTACATTACTTTTATAGTTGATGAGAAGAAATATGTACTTTTAGTGTCTTACCTGTTTTAAACATCTAATTTCAGATGTGATGAACTGTGCCTTAGCCACTGGCTAACTTGATCAGGTTCCACTGAATATAAAGGGAACGTAGGAACACTAGATCAAATGCAAATGTCCATTTTAAATCAAATGATTCCAGCCTTAGTGACAAAATTAATCTATCTTGACCGTCTCACTTTGTAGACACAGATATTCAGGGTTAACTGCATTTTCTATTGATAGCAACAGAAATACGGTAATGTATATAGGGACCGAAATGTCTTCTATGCTTTATATTGCAGAAAAATACTCCAAAAAAAATGTATCAAATAACTCAAATGCATTCTGTCTCAGGTGAACTGTCAACTATTACCTAATTTCAGTTTTGCTAAGGTTAGACTATAAGTTAACAACATATGAAAACTGCAACTTTTAATAACATTAATCTGTAGCAAACTTCTACTACCTAGTTAATCATCTGTTCCAATCATAAATTTACAGAAGCTGCAACTCTAAAAAGCATATGCATTTTTAATCTGACTTCTTAAAGAAATAAATGTTATGTGAGCTAGTTACATCACAAGTGTGAACCTGAGACGAGGAAGCCCATGTCATAGACACCTACGTATAGATGAATTCCATGCCAACTTTCATTAATTCTGCTGATTGTTTAAATAAAAATAAAATAAGCTGTAATAAGCTTTATTTGAGCCATCACAATCCATTGTATAATAGTGAAAAGACAGAAGGGGAAAAAAAACAAAAACAACAAATCCTCAACTGCAATTTGTCTTGCACCAAATCTGGAGATAACTGGATATTAATTTACATTTTTCCTTACCTGGTTACTCTTTGCATTGGACAAACTGTCTGCTTAGTCACAAAGGATTTAATAAAGCATTTCATCCTAAATGTGCTGAAATTCATTTGGTTCCAATGATATTAATGGTGTGCTTAAAATTAAGTGATTAGGTAAGGTAATGCTATTAGAGTTGTATCACTCAGCAAAGAGTGGACCAACTGAAAATAAACACTCATGTGCATGCATGAAGGAAAGGGGAAAAAATAAAGCCATATTGTTTGTACACTGTACACAGAAAATAGAGTGAATACATTTGTTCTGCGGCTTCCCAAACTCTGCATGGTCTTTATCAAGCACTGTTAGATCAAAATTCTCATTCAGAGACCACGTGGACAGATATCTCAATATATACTCTCTAGTTAAATATATGCAACAAACATCAAGGTTAACCTCTGTTAAGACCAGATTGTATCACCTGTTCGTACCCATGTGAGCACATAGTATCTTTGATTCACTGTGGACCATTTCTGTGAGAAAGTTTTTCTATCAATGTCCGAGAGTTTGTAATTTGGTCTAGGGTGCTGAGTAATAGATCTGTCTATGTAAAATAACCTGGTATATGTCCAGTCTCCTGTCTATCATCATTTGGGTTTGATATCATTTCTCAATTTCCTTAACTGGATTTTTTTTCCCTAACAATTTCTTCTTGCCCAGAGAAAAACATCCAGTAGTGAGTGTAAATGCAAGTTAAATATATGTGTTTCCAGTTCTCTCTCTTTTTTTTTTTTTTTAATGTTTGTAATCAAGTAAATACAATTAACTTAGCCCACTTAGCATTTTAACGGTTTGTCATCCAGCCTGAAGATAATATTTAGCTGAAGATAAACACTTAAAGTTTTTTTCTTTGTAATAAATTTTGCTTGCTGTATATCTAGCAGACAACTGAAGCCTGATAAATGAGAGTAAATGAAATCCTAATGACTTTGAGAAATTTGTAGTGATTCATTTGTTCACTTTTGTTGTCAAAGTTTTCAAGTCACAAGTGTGAATATATTTTAAGTAGGGTTAAAATGTGTTGCTATAAGTGTTACAGTGGCTGGGAAAGCAATTTGCAAAGAACAATAAGTGCCAGAGATAAAAAAAAAAAAAAAAAAAAAAAAAAAAAAAAAAAGCTTACTGGCTATCAGCAAAACAGAACACTAACCTAGCAAATGATTTGTTTAGCTCTATTCCAGGTGGCAAGAATTTTCCAAAACAGCCCACCTTTTGCAATCATTAATGCAAACATAGGCATTTTTACTCTAATAAAGTTATGATTCAAATTATTCCTATATGATTTGCAGATCTAAACTTTGAACCTATGTGTTTCTAGGCACTAGGATAATGTTTCTTCAGGTATGTAGTTAGGCAGAAATCAAATGTGTTAGGAAGGAGTTGCAGTATATCATGATTTATCATCAAATTGATCAATTAATTATTGAATGGAATTTGATGCTGTAGTGTTCTGTTTAATCATTCTGCAAAGTGGCTAATTAGTTAATATGCTAATTTTCTAATGTGCTATCTTGGTATTGGATACTCTGCATGCAAGTGAAACCCAAATTTTTGTACAATAAGGATTCTGTTTCAGTGCTTCTAAAATAAAATGAAAAAGTTATTGAAGCGATCACAAGGCATTTTCTGATGCATGCTGTAACTCAATTATGGTAGTAAGTGAATTTGAACATCTTTTTGTGTGGGAAAGCACAAATATATTAAAATTTTGGGGTATTTGTTTTCAGATAAAATTATTTTTTAATTATTATTTCAATATCAATAAATATAAAAAATCTTTGTTAGGGAAATCTACACAATGAAAGTCAGTGTTCAATGAAACTGTATACCTTCTCTTTACTTCCAGTAAATTTTTACCATTTCACCATACCATTTTAGCAAATAAACTGTGTGAAGTTTGATATTTTGTTTGAATTATATCAAAATATTTGTTAAATTCTTCATTTTGATAGTTTCCTCTCAGCAGCTGTGATCATTATTCTGTAATGTGTGACACTGTTGTATGTTGTCTGTAATTTAATGATTTGCATTTTTTTTGTCCTTGTAGCTGTAACCTTTTCAGTATTCAATGGCAAAAATGGCCCACGGGAACTTTCTGATTATCATTCAAGAGCAAGTGTCAAGGTAAGCATGTGCTAAAAGCTTTGCATTCTCTGATTTGCAGTTTAAAAATATGGTACCCACTCGAACAGATCTGACTCCCTCACATGGGGGACTCCTATAACTCTTTAGGAAGAAGTGCTTAAAACTTAATGTCAAACAAAAAAAATGGCATTATCTTTTGGTGGGAAAAATTAAAAAGATGATGAAAGAGGAAACATCTAATGAGTAAATTAGCCTAAAATAGATTTTAATAGTACCATTTCCTTCATATCAACTGGGTGTGTAAGATGGGTCAGGATGGCAAAAAGAAAGTGTGTCTTTATACTCTTAGATGGATTTAACCAAAAGAATTCTGGTTTTAGATGTGTTCTACTTTTAGATATTTTGTACTTTGTGCCGATTTCCTTCATTCTGATCAACAAAATTCAGACATGCCCTTGTCTTCGTATCCTTATTACATCACCCTTTTCCATAAGGATTCCCAATGATTAATAACATTAAAGTAAAGGACAGTGCAAGGGAGTTAGAGAACTGTATGTTTCCTGAGCTTTGGTAATAGATAGGACTGAAATTTGTATTGAGCCAATGCCATTTGGTCATCCAAAATTTCAACCAGGATAGAATAAATGTTCTTTTGTGTAACTAGCTTAATGAAGGGACAGACGTTGAAAACATTGGGGGGGGGGGGGGGGGGGGGGGGGGGGGGGGGGAAGAAACAACAATACATGGATATTTTGAGGAGGAGAAGAAGAAGAAAAATAACTGAGAGGATTTAGGCCCCCATGAACTAGGAATGTTTGTAGTCATTGACACTAATAGTGAGGAAGTTAGAGCATTTAAGCTTTTTTTTTTTTTTTTTCCTAGGGAACATAATTACTTTTGTTATACGGCATTCTTCCCACTGAGATGACACCAAATGCCTGTGTGGTTTAACAAACAACACTGATAAGTGGCACTTTTGATAGGAATGAGCCAGTTGTATATGCTAAATCAAGTAGCCAGCAGAGACTCTAACTTTTTAAAGAGATTTCAAAAGACACCAGAGAGGGATTATAAATTGCTTCTGGTGTCAGTATGATTTAATCATCCTGAGGTCCGAATTTCATTATGGAAAGTACCAAGTGCCATTGGCTTTGAGTATCAAAAACATTGTAACCTTCAGAAACAAAAGTTCAGTCACGGTATGTTGTTCCTTTGATATAGATATTCTTCAGGAAAAGGAAACTGCAATCTTATTACTAGTATTTTTTTTTTCCAGAAAATGCTTTCTGTGTAAACGTGCATTTACTCCCAGTACATAACACAAAATACAGTTTAATACAATTTATCTATTATTTATGTGAGCTCACAATTCAGTGACATATATGTCATGGTTGATCTGTATCAAGATATTTGTAGAGGTGAGTTACCGAGTTACAAATTGAATTGTTTGTATGAAATGCCCCTATCTTTCAATGAAGGAGAAACCAAAGTTTCAAGAAACAGGCATCGTGCCATGCAGACATGCAGCAAAAGCTTGAAACAACATTAAATCTGTTCAAAATCAACCAGGGTTGAAACATCACATTCAAAAAGATGCTGTGCCACATAGTTTAACTACTTTACCTCCACAATCAGAATAAATCTGGTGACCATCTATAGATAATGGGAAAAAGATGTGACCTCAGAGAGGTTATGATAAAGCTGCACCTCCATAACAAGGCAAATTTGGACTTTGCATTGGAGCAAAACAGGCTGAGTCTTACAGAGAGGTGTAGGAGGCCTTATGGCCAGTCTGACCACTTTAGGCAGGAACTTCGACCAGCCCACTGGAGAGCAAACAGTATACACAGGTTTCAGCCTAGAAGATGATATGTTTATACTGCCAACCTTGCTTTACCAACTAAAAAGGTCTTTGCACGACAAATCATAACATTTTTGTAACTACATTAAGATATCCTTAAAGTTATGTTTTCTACTAGACAGTGCCCAGGTCCAAGATGAAACCCCAGATGTGGCTGCCACCAAAATGCGCTTTTGTCATCAATCCCCTCTCCTTGGCAACTTTTTACTGTTGTTTCTCTGTCATGTGGAGGGGCCCCCACTGCAGGTTGAGCCCTGTCTCTCACCCAGTACAGACTTCATCTGACACCGATGGCCCAGGCCAAAGTGCAGTGGTGCTGCCTGCTGATGGCCCTGGTGGCAGTCCTCCCCACTGGCACAGGCACCACAGCCAGCATTCCCTCTCTCCTCTCCTTCATTCCTGCTCTCTTGGCTTTTCTTCAACCTTTTCTTTTCCCCCTCTATCCTTTTTTTCCCATTTTCCTTTCTTCTTCATTTCCTTCATGTCACAGCAGCCCTTAGAGAGGTCTGTCATGGAGCAGATACACAGGCTTCAGCCCATGGAGGATGCTGTGCTACCTCCATGGCAGGTGGGTGTTGCCAGGAGGTCCTGTGGCCTTCAGAAGAGGACCAAGGGAACTACAATGCAGTTGGCCTTACCTTGATCCCTGGCAAGGCTGTGGAACAACTAGCCCTGGAGAACATTTCCAGGCACATGAAAGACAAGAAAGCCATCAGATGTAGTCAGCATGGATTCGCCAAGGGGAAGTCATGCTTGGTGAACTTGATAAACTTCTGTGATGAAATGACTACTTGATAGACAAGGGGAGGGCAGTGGAGATTGTCTACCTAGACTTCAGTAAGGCTTTCAACACTGTCTCCCATAGAACGCTTACAACAAAAATGATGGAGAATGGGCTGGATGAGCAGATGGTGAGATAGACTGAGAAGTGGCAGAACAGCTAGGTCTGGAGGGCGGTGACCGGTGGCACAAGGTCTTCTTGCAGGCCTATAACTAGCAGAGTAACTGGGGTCCTGTTCATTAATAATGAACAGGTCCAGCTTCATTAATAATGTGGTTGATGGGACAGAGTATAATCTTAAAGAGACTGTAGGAGACAAAAAAACTGGGAGGAGTGTCTGATATGCCAGTGGGATATGCTGACATACAGAGGAAACTGAAGAGGCTGGAGAGATGGCCTGACAGGAATCTCAAGAAGTTCAGGAAGGAGAAGTACAAAGTTCTGCACCTGGGGAAGAAAAACCCAGGTACCAGTATGAGCTGGGGGCTGATGAGATGGAAAGCAGCTTTTCAGGAAAGGACCTGAGGGAAAGGAGTAAAGAAGAAAGAGGCAGGCTCTTTTCAGTGGTGCCCAGTGACAGGCCAAGAGGCAATGGACGCAAACAGAAACACAGGAGGTTCTGTCTCCAAAATGTCAGGAAATGGGTATATTACTCTGAGGGTTGCTGAGCACTGGCAGAGGTTCCCCAGAGGGGGTGTGGTGTCCTTAGGGATATTCAGAAGCCATCTGCACGTGGTCCTAGGCAGCCTGCTCTAGGTGTCCCTACTTGAAGCGGAGGGGTTGGATGAAGTGATCTCCAAAGGTCTGTTCCAACCTCAGCCAGTCAGTTCAGGAAAACAATTCCCAATTCCGTGGCAGCGGTGCACTCAGCACCCAGTGTCCACATTCATTCCCCACCAAAGTGCTTCGCAGACAAAGTCAGAGACATTTTGTCTGGATGGATACTGTGAGAAGCAGTATCAAAAGCTATGCTGAAATCCAGAAAGATTATATCAACTGGCTTCCCTTTGTCACCTAGATGGGTAACCTTGTCATAAAATGAATTTGAGTGAGTTAAACAGGACTTTCCCCTACTGAACCTATTTTGGCTAAGACCAACGAGCGTGTTGTCTCTCAAGTGTTTTTCAATAACTCTCAGACTGGTCTTCTTCATGGTTTCACCTGGCGCCAAAGTTAGACTGACAGCCTGCAAATACCACGGCCTTGGGCATGGTCCTAAGCAGCCTGCTCTAGGTGGCCTTGCTTAAAAGGTGGGGTTGGACCAAGTGACCTCCAGACGTCCCTTCCAACCTCAGCCAGACACTGGCTCCTGTGTTTTTGGAAAACATTTCCTAATTCTGTGACAGCGGTGCACTCAGTGCCCATGTTCCCCCACAAAGTGCTGCGCAGACACGGTCAGAGCATTTGTTCACATAGGCTGTTTATTGGTGTCAATACATAGGATGAAGCTCCCTGACGGAACGGATTCCCTCCAAGAGTTTGGGTGCTCACTGCCTGGAAGAAGTTGAGCAGCCCAGCTGTTTGGGAGGCTGGGCACAACACCATCCCTCTCCTCAGGTACCCTCTTGTTGCCTTCCCTCTCGAGGAAGCGGTTGAGGTGTTTCTTCTCCAGGCAGCAGCAGAGGCACCGCAGGAGGTCATCCAGGCGCAGGGGGCAATCTTTCCTTTGCCAGGCTTGCCAGGGCTGTGGCTGTCAGGTGGTGAATCACAGCCGTCCTCAGGGCGTGGGGGGAAAAGCCTTTGCTCACCAGCATACGGGCGCGGGGCTGCAGATGGTTGAGGTGGAAGCTGTGGGGTCGGGCATGCCTGGCCGTGTGCCCGACAGACTGCATCTCTGCCACAGCGCAGCTCTTTGGCGGCGCCGTGCTGCTGGTGAAGCTGGCCGCGGCTACTCCAGGCTCAGGAAGGAGTCCGAGTCGCCTAGCCGCACCCCAAGCGTGATCTCAATGGAGAGGGTGCTCTGGGAGGCGTTGGCCAGCCTGATCTTGCAGGAGCGGCGGGAGGGCAGCACCGTCAGGCGGCAGTGGCGCGACTGCGGCAGAAGCTCCCAGGCTGCTTTCACCAAGGCCTGGAACCAGCGAGTGGTTTCCTCCACATCCAGGTAGGAGCCGCTGCAGAGGGTGCGCAGCAGGCTGGGCTCCTGTCTGCTCCTCAGCTCGTCCTCGGGGTGGTGGAGGAAGCACAGCATGTCCCCCACCAGCCGCTCCCTCGCGCAGGCGCACTCCAGCTCCACGCGCAGGCCGGGCTTCCTCGCTGGCGTCTCCCCCTCGGCGCCCAGCTCCGGGTGGAAGGCGTGCCCGGGGGGAGGCCTCAGGGGCACGAGCAGGCGGTAGAGGACGTTGTCCTGCCGGGTACTCCCGTCTTCGGAGAAGCAGCCCACACCGATGGCCGGCTGCAGCCGTGGCTTGAAGAGAGATTCCCCCGAGAGTCTTTGGCAGGCACCAAGAAGCTTGTCCACCAGCTCCTCCACCACCTTGCACTTGTCGGCCATGTGCGGCGCCGGCCACTGGGTGCGATTGGCCCAAACCCTGCCCAGATCCCGGGTGTCATCGGTGTTGGTGTTGTCTTTGTCCTTTTTGTTCTTCCTTGGGTAGCTGCCCTGCTTGCTCCTGTGGAGCCCAAGTCTCCATTTCCTGAGCCACCGGCAGAGCCCGAAGAGCAGGACAAGGAGGTCAATAAAGGTCCAGAGCTGCCACTGCTGCAAGGCAGTGAAGAGCAGGGCTCCCAAGGCCACCCCACTCTGCTCCTGGCTCCTCTCCTCCATCTCATGCAGCAGCCGAGCCATGCCTTCAATCAGCTGCTCTGCATGCTGCTGCATTCGCTCATTTGCATCCGCATCCACGTGATCATCCACGAACCACGGCTTCTGGGCAATGCCCAGCACAGCCAGGGCGAGGAAGATCAGCCGAGCCATGGCTTGCAGGAGGTGCAAACTGCACACACCGACGGCCAAGGCCAAAGTGTGGTGGCGCTGCTGCTGCTGGCCCTGATGACAGCTCCCCCGCTGTGACTCATCCTCTGTGCTGTCACAGGCACCACAGCCGCATCACACCAATCCCCCTCCTCTCCCCTCCTCTGCTCTGCTTTCCAAAGTGAAGACGACTTCTGCTGGGTGAGATTCCGGAACTAAAGAGGGAGAGTCAAAAGACATCTGGACATGGAATCAGAGACTCTCCTGAGTTGGAAGGGACCCATGAGGATCATCGCATCCAGCTCCTGGATCCACACAGGACCATCCAGAAATCAAACCATAACTCACAGAGCACTGTCCAATCACTGCATTAGGAGAAGTATTGCCAGGAGGTCAAGGGAGGCGAGCCTTTTCTCTTCAGTTCTTGTATGACCATACTGTGTCTAGTTCTTGGCCCCACAGTGCAAGAGAGTAATGGACTTACTGGGGAGAGTAGAAATAAGGGCCGTGGAAATAGTGAAAGAACTGAAAGATCCCTCAGGAGGAAAGGCTGAATGCGTTGGGACGTTTCAGGCTGTAAAGGATAATTCTCAGCTGGGATCTTAACAATGCATATAAATACCTGAAGGGAGGGTACAGAGAAGGTGGGCACAGACCCTTTTCAGTGGAGCCCAGTGACAGGAGACAAGAGGCCACGCACAGAACTTGGAACACAGGAGGTTCTGTCTGTACATCAGGAAATGTGCATTTTACTGTGCAGGTATTGAGCACTGGAACAGTTTGCCCAGAGAGGTCATGC